GTCAAATCCCAAATTTTCTAAATATTGCTCCACCCCCTCTTCCACCCCTTTTTGCGTGGGAGCCCTGACAAGTTCAGGCCCAACACCGCACTGAAAAATGCATCATAACTCAACGCTGAAAAAACTCCAGCGCCTCCTCCGGATTTTACAAGGCGTTCTGCGGCTCATTACGGAATTCCATGCATTTCCGGGATCTGAGATCTATCGTTTTTTCAAAAGATTTTTCTTATCTTTTTCCTGAATTTCTCGTACATCCAGCCCAGCCGGCATAACAAGGAATTTGTAGTTGGACGAGAAACGGCACCGGCTTTTTGCTTGTTGATTCGTTCCCTCGATTTTTTTTTTTGACTGGATTTTTGACGCTGTATGAATTGGCTAAAAAGATTGGCTCCTACCTCTTTATATTTCCTAAAGAATTGGTGTCTGATACGCTTTTGGCACTTTTTATACAAGTCAGCACGATTTTGATCGCTTCAAAGACCGCATGGCTTCAAAAAAAAAGTTAAAACAATCATAGTCTATTGTTGGTATGTATGTTATGTAAAATTATCGCTTAATTACTATGTAAAAATTGAATGCTTTTTTTTTCTTACCATGTTCATTATCATTTTTTTACAACACTGTAATTTTCAAGGGGCTAGGAAATGTCTAAATTGACCCTGTAGACCACCGATTTTTGAGAAATGTCGATTTTACCCACAAAAGGTATTGATTTTTCACGGTTTCGGTTAATGAAGCAAAACGGCACAGTCTTCAAAAAAATACGATTTTTATCTATGCTAATGTCCGGCAAATGTCGCGATCAAATATAAGATAAAGATAAAAGCAAACCGTTGCCTGGAGCGGCACGTAGTCTCACTTTGGCTCAATTCCACGAATATCCCCCAGCCAAGCGAACTTCCAAGGACCTTTAAAAACTTGATGACCTCACCCAGTCCCGCTTTTCCCGCTTGCAAATTCTCAGGGCAGAGCACAAAAACTATCTGCGGTCTGTCGTCGTTGGTCGAAGGAATGCCCCCCAGGCGAGGCTGATCGAATTCCTTGGCAATATCCCTGGCACTTGTTTCTTTCTGTTTCTCTCTCTCTCTCTCTCTCTCTCTCTCTCTCTCTCCCATCTCCTCCGTCCTCCCTGGCCAGGGCAATTTGAGAAGACCCAGATCCACTCAACACAGGGATATCCCCCCTGCCGGCTTTTCCCGAGCATGGCCGGACACACGCACCGGTTAAGCATGTTTTCCGGCGATTTCCTGGGCCACTTGGAGATTGCTCAGTGGCCTGGGGATTTTGAAAGTTTGCAAAATCTCTAGAGATCCAGAATTTTCGATTTTCTTTAAAAGTTACAGCAATAGATATAAATTATTAATATATAAATATAAATTAAAGCAACATAAATTGACTGCTTCTATTTTCAAGAACATTTTCTCGCGTGTAAATGATCTTTGCTAGCTTGCCCATGACTCGATAACTTTGCGCATTCCGGAAGGTCCATAAACAATGGTATTTATTTTATTACATATTCTAATTTTTCATCTCCTATTCTCCTACCTTCTCGGAATTTTTGCTGGCCTGTCGCTTTTGCCTTATCTTACCGACCATTAATCCAAAACCTTAGAGATGAGCATGAACTTTTTCTAGGGCTGCCTTCAGTCTCTCTAAGAAAACCAGACAATTTGACTTTTTGCGAAAGCCTAAAAATGCGACGCTCAGCGTGATTCACGAATTATCGGAATTTAAGGGTTTCAGCTACCAGGAGCTCAAATTTCTCGAACCTCTAATCCTTCATGCAAATTTGATCAGGTCAAACGAAGCCGTTGAAACTACAAAACCCGGTCTGGGAACCTAATTTCCCGACTCTTAATTCTATAGGTCTTCCGACTCGAGATGATTTTTCTGGTGCTCTCTGGTCCGTTACTCCGCTTCTTTGGAGTTTTTCTTGCCCCCATTTGTTGCCCGACGACCCGGAAGGCCGTAATCAAATTCACTTGGCAAGCCGATGGCTTTTAGGCAAGACTGGTCAGACGTTCTTTTTGAAATTAGCTTTGTTTTGGCCAGAATTTTAAGATGTTTTCGAAGATTTTGGACGAGTCTTTTAATACCTAAAATTTTCGTTTTTTTGGGTAATGTTAATGTTACAGTAATCGATTCCGACCGAATTTGCACCTAATGACGTTTGTCCCTATCCAAAAAAGGATATTTCCGAAGCTATAGGTGCGGAACAACGTCAGGAAGGTGTTTATGCCATCCACACCGGCAGACGATATTTTTATGTTTAACGTGCCAGGTGGTATTTACGTGGTAAGATTCCGCCAACTATTAAATCTTTTTTGTTTACTCCATTTTTTGTTGATGCAAGCCTGATTTTTCAGTGCTTGCGTCATCAAATATATGTCTATTTTTGCAATTTTTCGTCCAATGTGGATGGCTAGCCAAAAATCATAGATATCTGATCTTCATATAAGCATCCACTTACCCCTGATATTTTTGCCTCATTCATCAGCCCTCCACCCCCTTTTTGCGACTCATTTTCCCACCCACATCCAGCCAGGGGCGGGCTAGATGGACATTTTCCCGGTTGCCCAGACCGGGGCAGATTTTCCGAATTTTCGGTGTAAGCCGGAAACGTATCAGAGGACCTCCCCAGGCCGCCGGGTCAGTTCGTTCGGGATTTGTGGAGATTCTCGGTTTGTTATGATTTTTCCAGGGATAGTTTTGTTTCGAGGATTTTGTTGTCTTGGCAAACTGCCATGCGTCTGAATGATCAATGTTCGGTTTCTCGTAGGGTAGGAGATCCAAGATTCGACTCTTAATCAGAATAAAGATGTCGTTTGGGGTGAGGTTATAAGCAAAAAAGCATCGGTTTTACGTTTTGGGCTAGCGCACTAATGGTAGGAATCATGGCTGAAGCCCATTGCTTTAATAAATTTAATAATAGAGCCTAAACTCTGAAAAAGCTGTCAATTTTGCTATTTATTATATGCTGCTAACATTCGTCAACATGCAGTAATGTTTTTAGTACGTTTCCATCCTCCTTTCATTGCGTATTCCTGCCACTAGAATTTGTTCCTGTACGCGTCAACCTCGAGAACGGGATGATAAATTGTGCATCTACAGCGGGCGCGATTAGACACTATAGGATTATCCCATGTTTGCTTGTTTTCTTTGCGAGCCTCTCACGGATTTGCGAGTTTTTCGGATTAGTCCGTCAGCTCTAACAACCTTTCATTGTTTGCCGGCACTCGGAATGGTTGAGTGATTTCTGGGACGGGATTCTCTTCGTTTCTCCACGCCAAAAGTCTCGCGGAAGTGGGATAGTCCTTACTACTAGGAACTCCTCATTGATGCGTGTTTGCTGGCTTCTTCTTTTTACTTTTCCTTTGCTCAAATGATCTCTACTAGCTTGCGCTCTCTCTCTCTCTCTCTCGCTCTCTTTCTCTCTCTTTCCCTCTCTGTCGTTGCGCGTTCCGCAAATTTTCACTGCTAGCTTGCCAGCGCGTTCTCCTGTAGATTTCTCAAATGAGGGTTGCTAGCTCGCCTCTCTTTTTCGTCCTGTCCTGTGCCTCAAATGACCTCTGCTAGCTTGCTTTCTTCTCGTTCGGCATCTTTAACGTTTTCTGCTGGCTTTTCTTCCTTTCATTTTGCGGATTCCGCAAATGTACCCAGCAACCTTGCCTCGAATTTTGCTTTTCAAATTCCGCAAATGAGCTCTGTCTTCCCATTTATAAACTGATTTATACTAAAAATTCCTGATCTCGACGTTCCGGAACCTCCGTTTTCCCATTTTTCCAACACCGGAAGCACCATCTCCGGGCCTTTTTCCGGGACACCAAAAGTGTGTCCATATATTTTTGGAATACGCCCCGAACGGCCCCATATTCACCGCCCGCACGGGGTAATGATTCCCATTTTTCAGACACCAAAAAAACCCTGGTTACGTAGCCATTTCAACCTCAAGAACCCAAATCTAAGGACGTCTGACATTTCCTCAATTTCTCTAGAGCAACCCTAAAATTAAGGCCCACTCGTTTTTCGCCTGACAAATGGCAACAAATTTTCTGGGCCGTTCGACTCCTTTTGACGCGCTTGGTCTTTGGATTTTCATCGGCGACACTGTCTTTGGGGAAATTGCCGGGTTTCTGGGGGAGGATTCGAATTTTTCAGGGATTTTTTGGGTCCACGAAATTTGGGGGCCCAAGTGTGTTGGGATCAGAACGGCCACCATTTCCTCCCACTAAAAAAAGATCCCGTGATTGTCGAGGATTTTTTGGCTTCAATGACCGGTGTGTCCAGTTTTGAGAATCGGGATTCTGGGTACACGCCAATGCTTTCAGCAAAATGTAAATGCCTTCGCAAATGACCGGTATAGGTTCACGCCCTACGTATCTTAGCTCCATTGCATTCTTCTCTACCATCAATTCTGAAATTTTAGATAGATTTTAGGTAGGCACGTTTTAGGTTTAGGTCGTCCTATCTCCCCCTCCCTTCCTCCCTCTCTTCCTCTCTCTCTCTCCCTCTCTCTCTCTCTCTCTCTCTCTCTCTCTCTCTCTCTCTCTCTCTCTCCTCCTCTCTCTCTCTCTCTCTCTCTCTCTCTCTTTCTCTCCCTCTCTTACCGTCCTGAGTCAACCACTTTGAAGTTAAGTTTGAGTAAATCCGGAAATCTTCGAATATTCTGCCTTTTCGCACAAAACCAGGATCGAAAGTTTCCATCAAAAAAAACCAAGTACATTGCTTTTCCGTAGCCGTTAATTCCTTCCCTGGCAGCGATTTGTAGCCGGTGAGAAAATTATTGAACCGGGTGTTTTTACGTGTGCCCTGAGCCGAGCAAACAGAAGCTTGGCAGCAAAGGCTAAAAACTCAACTGCTATAACTTGCTATCCCTTGCTCAAATTAAATCTTGCGTCCAATTAACTTGCCTAAATTTTTTATTTGTTAGCGCTTCTTCAATTCTTGGTTTGTATCCTTTTTAGAATTTTTTTGCCTCTTACATTCTATTTTTTTCAGGAATGGAACATGATTACAACGAGCAGGATAATTACACAGACTACCAGGTCAGCGGTGTCTTTGCGTTTTTTGGAATTTCCGGGTTTTAGTTTGTGCCTCGTGGAAGCCCACGATGAAATACCAATTTTCCAATTATTGTGACGTTACGTATTTTTTACACCCCGATTAGTCATAGAGTTCCATCTGAAAAGCAGTTTTTTCTGGGGTAAGGATTCCTAAATTCGTAATCCACTCCCAAAATCAAAAATCCACTCCCTACTCAGGAAACCCACCAGTCAGCGTGGCTTCCATATTTGATAATTTAGGCGGATGGGTGGATGCAGGGGTTTTTGGGACGACACGAGATGTGGTTGGGGTTGGGGGGGGATGACGAAAGGAGCAGCGGAAAAGCTGGGTAAAAATCAGGTGTAGGATCTGGACAACTTAAAATATAGAAATTACAGCGAGCAAGCCCCAAAACGTGAAAGTTTGATGGAAATCTAAGATCTAGTGACGTCCCAGAACATCAAATTCCATAAAATCGCACTCTAACTATTAGTACGCCGATTTCAGACGGTATTCTGGAAAAAAAGGACTTACAATTCCAATTTCGGATTAAAATAATTAATGACTCAAACCAGGGTTGAAAAGTCGCTTCGCGATTTTTCCACCCTGGCCGCGTCTGACCCTACAATGTTCTTCGCCTTACATAATTTTTCTGAATCCCGATAACGAATAAAAACGAAAAGACGCTCCCTCTTTCCGATTATATAGGCTATCGCCATTTCCGGCGTATGCTAATTATTTGTTAACAAAGAGGGGTGTCCTATTTTTCAACAAAAACTTGATTTTAATGTCAAAAATCGAACAATTTGCACAATCTGGTAAGCGTGCGGTCATCTTGGAGCCATTACGCACCTATTGGCGTATCAAAGATAGCCTAAGGGCCTTCCCCTCTTGAGATATCCTCCGGACAACCTGACGGAAGTTGCATGCAAATGCACACACACAGACACTATTTTTTTATATACTGTAGGATACGATGTCAGAAATTGGCGATAAGGTACATAAAACCAACAACTTTTTGGCAGACCATTAGTGCGCCTTTCGAGGTCAATAAGTGTCGTATCCATAATTTATAAACGTTTGTTTCAGGATGAATTTTCCGACCCGGTCGTTTGGTCGGCCGGATTGGCCTCGGTGGCCATTTACACGATCGCTTTCTCAGTCGGAATCCCAGCAAACCTCTATGTGCTCTTCCGGATGCGGCGATTAGCCCGGTGAGTCGGCAAAACCTTGGAACAGCTGCAGTATCCCACTATTTCTATTTTCGTTTCGTCACCTAACGATTACCAAACTTATTTTCCTTGAATCGCAGGATTTGCGTAAGCCTGACCATGAGCCAGAGCGGGCGCTTTGCAACCTAAGCCTGTTTGTACTTACTGCAGAATATTGTATTTGTCACAAAAATCCACCATTCAGCAACAATCCCTTCCCAACCTTAATCCCCCTAAAACACGCCGGGCACTTGCTCATGACCACCAAAAACCTATCTAATCTGTGTTATAGTCAGGATTTCCGGATTTTGACGCCGGGATCCGAGCGAAATTTCAAAACCCACGGATTTGGTTTGGGTGATGTTCGAGATAGGGATCAAGAAATATCAAGGCGAGAGAGATAGAGATAGAGAGAGGAGTGAGAGAGAGAAACTACTTTTGGACTCATTACTTTTTAGAAACGATGTCGAGCGATACCGTAACGGGACGGGTATCGCCTTGTGCTCAATGGCAGCCGCAGATCTATGCAGTTTGCTCTTGATCGGGGCCCAGAATCTGCTCAACTTCACCCCAGAGCCCGATGCGACGACGGACTGGATGATGCGGAAGGGCGTTTGCAAGGTGAGGCGCAATCTGTGCGTTACTGTGTGTAAAAGGAAGACGTTTTACGGTTCTAAGGTTTAGTCCCGGGACTGCAAACTGGATCCCAAAGTTTTACATACAAAAAGTATTCAAAATTTTCACCTAACTGTTAACGGAGCTCTAAACGAAATTGAAAGCCGTAAAAAGCCGGTATTTTAGCCTTTCCAACACAGTTTTAAGATGATATGACGTCAAAAATTCCAATTTCCAGGCTCTGCTCTTTCTTACTCACACGATTACCGGGATCTCCATCTGGTCCTGGCTGCTCCTCTCATCATTACGATACCTCGCAATCTGCCATCCCCTCTACCACCTCCGCCTCTGGCAGATGCCCTATCGAGCGTTGGCATTTATTGTGGTAGGTTTTATGTATGGCCTAAAATTGGCCTAAGTACGATTTTGGTCCTATTTGCAAATCCAGTAGTCATTCGAATAACGCTCACCAAAAAACGTTTCGATTTCCGTCAAAATACCCCACTGACGCCTCCATGCATCGAAAATCACAATTCTGACCTAGAACCATGTTTTCAAAGTAGCGCACGTTGCTAAAATGTGCAGATATGCACGAACCTCCGTGAGTCACGGCTTTGAAAAAACCCCTCTTGGAGACGGATACAATCAACATCAATTATCCTCGTCCCAGATTCTGCTGGATAGAGAGGGGGTTCTGGGGCGCCGGAAGCATTTTTTGCGCGTCGTGTGTGTATGTGCTTGCGCACGGAGCAGGAGCGAGCTTTCCAAGAGGCGCAATGGGTCTAAAAAGGGGATCAAAAATGTTGTTTTAAGTAAAAAAATCCCAAAAGCAGAAGTAAGCCAAAGCATGCTAAAAAAACTTATGCCAAGCAAAAAATGGTATGATAAAAAGCGGAAAAATGTGTCGCGCTGAGTTTGAAACCTCAAAAAATGGCTTGTTGGTACTGCCTTAATGCGGTGTCTATGCATTTTAATTAATAGTGCCATACACCTTACACTGCTATAGATCCTTTTCCAGTCAATGTCCATCTTCTTGAACGTCTGGCTACTCGTAGCAGTAGATGCGGACGGTGGTGGCTGTACACAGGTAAATTTTGTACTCGCTTTTGGCGCTAGCAACATCTTCCTGACCTCCTGCTCCTCTTCACGACTTCCTGCTACCATTAATCCGCGAAAGAGCTCTGAATTTGCAGGTGCCGTTAATGAAGAACTCCGCAACAGCCAATCGCCTCTTCCACATCGTGGAGTGCGTCTGGTCATTCATAATCCCGTGCTTTGTCATCGTCGTCATGGATACGTCGGTGGTGCTGAAGAGCACGTGGGTTACTGTAGAAAGGACAATCGATGGCTCGGTCAAGAATAACACAAGGATGCTAAATTTGTTAAAGTATTGATTACTCAAATCCTACTATATATAAAAAAATAGTGTCTGTGTGTGTGTGTGCCACTTTGCATCCACTTCCGTCTGTCTGTCCGGAGGATATCTCAAGCAGGGACGGGCATTATGCTACGTTTGATACGTCATGGGGTGCGTAATGGTCTAGGGATGGCTGCACACGTATCAGATTTTAAAAAATTAGCCATTTTCGGTATTAAATTTAGCTTTTTGTAAAAACCTCTTTGTTAGGAATGCATAGACCGGAAGCGGGCGGTCGTCTATATAATGAGGCAGAAGGGGTTGGTTTTCATTTTTTATTGCCTTCTGAATGAAGGACAATTATGCAAACGGCGGAATAGCATCGGGTTCAAGACCGGGCCGGGGTTGAAAAGTCGCGAAGCGGCTTTTCAACCCTGGTTTCTAGATCCTACTATATATAAAAAAATAGTGTTTGTGTGTGTGTGTCTGTGCCACTTTGCATGTAACTTCCGTCATTCTGTCCGGAGGATATCTCAAGAGGGGAAGGATATTAGGCTACGTACGATACGTCATTAGGTGCATAATGGCCCTGAGACGACTGCACGCAGATCATATTTATCAAAATTGCCTATTTTCGACATTAAAATTAAGTTTTTGTTGGAAAATCGGCGATCCTCTTTGTTAGGAAAAAATTAGCATGCGCCGGAAGTTCCGGTAAGCCTATATAATGGGCTAGCGAGCGCGGTTTTTCTTTTTTTTTCATCGGAAATGCAAGAATTATGCAAAGTGAAGTGTATCATGCGATCAGACGGGGCCAGGGCTGAAAAGTCGCGAAGCGGCTTTTCAACCCTGGTAAAACTCTAAATTATGAATATCATAAGATCAGTTAAAAGCAGTAAAATAAAAGGTGTTTTAGGTCCTTTACGTGGTTCCTGGAGACCGAGAAAACCGGAAAAGACAAGCGGAGAAGAAGCGCCCTTGAAGAGATCATCAAGCTAACGCGATCAAATTCTGGACGGGTGAGGGTGGGTTACTGTAGTTACCGTGAGACGGTTTCAAGGGACCGGGAAGGCCTGGATATGGTTTTCGACCCTTGCTTTGATGGATTCCGGTTTTATTCACGGTTAGACGCGTTGCGTATCACGTACGTAGCCAAAGAACCATCGCCAAAAACCGAGCTTTAAAAATTTGCGCCTGAAAGGGACATTAGAGGAACCTAAATTTCTCTATTTCTTTAGATTTTTCACTTTTTCAGGCCCGCCAACAGCGTGCCCTGTGCCGATGGCTGTTGATCGCGCTGGTGTGCGTCTTGTTGAATACCCCGGAGAACACGTTGCGCCTAATTACGCTGTTCGGGATGCCGGATTTCCAGAATAGCGGCTGGCATCTGTCGGCGAGGATGTTGGCGCAGGCGTTGTATTTTAGGTAAGGAAATGGGAGAGATTGGAGAACATCAAAGATGAAACTGTGTACCAAAATCTGTTTTCGAAACCGAGAGAGAGTGAAAACGAGAGAGATAGAGATAGAGAGAGCGAGAGAGCAAGAGAGAGTGAAAAAGTGAGTAAGAACGAGAGAGTCGGAGTAAGGGCCACACCGAGAGAAGACCCGAAAAATTCAAGAATGCCTGTTTCAGCCAGTTCGCCTTCAACGCCATATACCTGGCGCTGTTTGTCTACGACAAGAGCAGCAGATCAAAACATGTACACGATGGGAGCAACTACAACTCCCACGCAAGTACGTTCATCACTACTTTACGACCTAATCCTAATACTAAAATGATACACCCCGCGTTTGTTGCCCTAACTCCAAAACTGACGTTGACACATAACCATATTACCACGCAAACATCGGGCGCGCGAAAAAAAACTGGTTAGCGAGAGCCGTTTGTATGCGTCATTTGGGTGCGGGGGCGTAGGTTTTGTGGTTTGTGGCTTTTCAATGAAAGAGAGAGAAAAAGAGAGAGAGAGAGACAGACAGAGAGAGGGAGAGAAAGAGAGATGGAGATTGAGAGAGCAAGAGAAAGGGCAGGAGAGAACCAGAACAGTAGACGGGAGAGAACAGGAGAGAGAGCGAGAGAGAGGAGGGAGAGCAGAGAGAGACAGTGAGAGCGAGAGAGAGATATCGATAATTTTCAGCCGATGCCAAAACGAGCTTATAATTTTTACAAGGTATACGAAAAATCGCCTTCCGCTTCGCTACAAATTACATCCACGAATTAGCAAAAAACCAATAAAAAAGGCCATTTCAATTTATACAAAAAATCCGATTTTTTTGTTAGGAATTGCAGGATCAATTTGATCAATTTTGTCACTAAAAAGACATTTACCTGAAAAAACCATAACGGTACTACGGTATTTAGTCCACCTAATATTCGCCGAGGCGTTCATGCAGCACTTTGCCGCCCATGCAACAAGTCCCCGGTCGAAGCGGGCTAAAATGGGTAAAGATACCTGTCGAGCACGGCCTAGCCAGAAAGCTAAATTTCCCAATCAATACCTTCCCGACACCTTTAGAATAATTTTATTTAACCTATGCTATTTTAACACCCCTTACTACACCACTTTTCCGCGGCGCTACTCTAAACACCATACCCGCACACCACCGGCCTGCACCGAACCCGCAATTCTGAGCCTTAAATGGATGTAGAATTTTATTAAGAGCATGCTTTCAGTTCTGCCGCCCCTGTTGAGGTCCCGGAGAGCATCTACATGCTGCGAAAGTCCGCCACATCAACCGAGGGTGCATAAGATGTCCCAGACGCATCGACTACACCCTCAATTGTCGCTGACGACTAGCAGATCCTATGTGGAGATACCGCAGAGCCAGATTGCTGAGTTGCACAGGAGCATTTCGGAGAATTAAATTGGCTTAATATTGGGATCATAATCTTTAATGGTGGTATACGGTAGCAATAGGGATCACAGATTGAGAGACAGATTCGAGAATCGCTGAATTCTGAAATTTTCAGGTTTTTAGCTCGATAAGGGACATATTAAAGGGATGGATAGACTTGCCTATAGACATGCATTGCAGGTCCCGTTAAAATCGAGTTTAGAGCGGTTTTTGACCACTTTTTCTAGCTTAGAAGCCGATAGATTTCTGCAGTCTGGAATTTCTTAACCTTAAAATAGACTAATCCGCTACCAAACGGCCTAAATTATGGTTTCTCAAGGTCTCCGTAAAATTCTCGTTTCCTTGCCATCGCATCTCGCATATCGCCAATTTACTGTACGATTGTTGCCCAAAACGCAGCCAGACTGGTTCGATCGTGCGTCACAGCTTCTCAATTATATCACCCCCCCAACTTGCCCCCATAATTAAATGTACAAAAATGGCTTATAGCCAACCGTCGTGTGTGTTATGTGCCGGTTTTCCTATATATCGTGTATTCCCCGAATTCCATGTAATATCGAAAATTTTGGCTTTTATGAATTTTATATTGCCATAACCTAAAAGTTTTTGAGGCTTTAAAGGGACCGTAAAAGCAAAGAAAATTAAATTCTAAATTTTTCACGATTCTAATTCCTATTAAATCTTGGCAAAATTACAATCTGACCTTATCCATCAAATGACATTTTAAAAATTTCTATAATGTTCTTAAGTTACGCGCCGTACCGTTACGTTTTGATACGATACGCTACAAATTACGTACGTAGATTACGTTACTTTGCAAGCGCGAAAATTTGCGGAAATCAGCTTGCCGGTCCCTTTAAAACATAAAAATTCTGCTTTTTACTGTTGCCAATTTTAGACGGGTTTTCGATCTCCATATGTATTATTTTCCACCCTTTTTCGTTGTATTTTCCCTGGCTCGCGACAATAAAATTCAACCTTCTCTTTTTGTCGCTACCCGCCAGGCCCATAATTTTGCAATCCAACTACCGTACCCCCTAGGACACAACACACACAACTCTTCTGAATGTTATGATAATCAAGCACAACCACCTACACGAAATGGCTTTAGGGACGATAAAACGGTGGATAAAATGTGGAAAACAAATGGGGAATTTGGTGGTAAAACGCTGGTGCAGCGTGGCAAACACACTGCCGCCATCAACACGAAATTTTTGGAATTTTGTGGTTTGGTTTTTAAACTGGAAATGACAGCGTTTTGTTTATTTATTACGTGGGTTAAAAGCCTGAAGTATTCCCATTTTAAAGGAACTATCTAGGCTGGCGGCGGCGCACTCATAGACATGCCAAGAAGCTAATGTAAATTCAGATAGCCTCTGCATCATCATGATCCCAGCAAAGTTTTTTTGAATTAATTGGGAATTTGACAAAATCCATCTCGAAATGTCGATAAATTTAGAGGATACAAAGTTCTAAAGATACGCGTTTTGTCCTTTTATTTTCTGCTTTTTTAACGGAATTCGCATTCTCAAATTTTGCCATCCTGTATTACGTGGCTTCCTTGAATGCCCAAATCTCACACTTCGATAATTCAGAATCAAAAATTAAATTATCCTTTCTTTTTAAGGATCTGCACTTTTGGAAACTGCCCTAAATTACGGTTTGCTTTTTCAGGAAAAAAAAATCTTTTTTTTTAAAAATAAGAAGCATTACAGAGAAATATGCCTGGACTTTACATCTCGAAAATCCAAATTTAACTCGAGGCCGCCCTAGCTACCTTTTAAGGCCAAAATACTAATGGCTTGGACCAGTGGCACACCCCCGAGCTTGCATCGGCTTATCACCAAAAATGTGGGGTCCACATTGTCCAGTTGTCTTGTCTTTTGGCTTTTCAGGTGGCTAGCAGCTCGTTTCGGGGCTTATGTTTGCACGGTTTAGTGCGGCTTGAATTTATTGCTCTCACCAGGCTGCTGATCTATTAAGAAATTTCGTCTGGTTTCTAAACCTAATTCATAGCACATTTTAGTCCTTTTAAACTCTTTATTTTCCCCGTTACTTCAAAAAATCCTGAATTTTTCTGCCAAGGTTTACAATTCAAAGATCGCCTCTCGCTGGTCACAAAATTAATTCTTCGTTTCGTTTTCATAAGTCTATTTTGATTCGCTTTTAGCCTCATACAAGGCGTTCAAAAAGCAGCATGAAAAGTTAAAAAGTGGCTCAGATTTCAATTTCTGCAGCCTTTTCGGAATTCAAATTAAGAACTTCCGCTACTTCTTTTTGCAACCCGGAACATAATTTCCAAAAATGAACCCCGGCTCCACCCGATCATTATCATTCATTCCTTTTCTTTTCCGGGTGAAAGCCGCCTCGTACCCGGGATTTCCGTTCACTCCGCGTTTACGTAAAAGAAAGGATAACCCGAAAAAACAGTTGGGCAAACGCTCGACCAGGCAGAAATGGGAGAATGGTAATCCGAGGTGGAAACAGAGAGCATACTGATCGAAATTGATCACATGGCAATGGAGAGGCAAACTTATTGGTTTTTTTTGCTTGTTAAAAGGTTGAGTTTACAGTATCTCGCGCCTCTCTCTCTCTCTCTCTCTCTCTCTCACTCTCTCTCTCTCTTTCTCCACGACTGTTTTTCTGATTTTCCAGATTTTCAGATGGTCTTTCGTTTGAAATATAGCGAATTTCCACTACAAACGCTATTTAAGCACACGATTAGGTGACTAGCCATTTTTTGACCTATAGGAAGACTTCGGTCCTCAAATTCGCTCACCCCACCGATAATGCGAAAGATCCAGTGAATTAAATTCCGTCATTTTTAACAAATTGAAGCGCCCCAGTTTCCAAAAATCATGATTCCCAAAGTACGCCCCGTTCCTATCGCCAACCTTTCGCGGATGATGATCTGTTTGCCAAAGCTTTTCCCTCGCCCCAAATCTTCGTCATGTTTCTTCTAACTGTTTACAAGCAGTTTTGGGGGTTGGGGGTTTTGGCCCACTACAATTCAAATAAACATGTGATAGAAAGATAGATGAGATAGAAGAGGTAGAAAAAGAACGATTGGGGCGGTATTTTTGGGGGAGGCCAAACCATTGTGCGCTTTTTCAGTCGATCCGGGTGAGCAACCCCCTGCGCGCACAATTATAATGTTTTTAAAGGTCGCTCGGGTTTGGGATTTTGCATTGTTGTTTTGGGCATTCAAAATTCTCGTTCTTTTTCTAGCGCTATCTGTTAACATTAATTCATTTAGCTTCATCCTTTCTTGCATTCCAATCAGCGCGATTTGATTTTTTGGCTTTTTAAGGTTATTTAGTTATTAAACATATTTTTGCAGCACCAAAGCTAAACGGGTTAGACGCATTATTCACAAAAAATTTGCAGCAGCGGTCGTTGACAATTTTCCATGCAAATTCTGCTTTTTTCCAAGTTCCCCCTCGTCCCTTTTGCTCTATCCGGCACACGTGGGCCGCGTTTCCCAAAACTCCGCGGCCATTTATGGGCCAAAAGCCGCCCGGAATTTGCGAATTCGATCGATTTGCGGGTCAACAGGATCGGGTCTGCGTGAACTAGCTTTCTACTGATTTTTCCGGGTTAGAATTTTAGTAGAAAATGCTAAAAATTCCTAAAGACTTGATGGTCACTTATCATCTCAACCGAAACCGGTTACACGGGTTGGACAAGTTCTTCCTACCTTTTTCTACTTCTCTCTCTCGCTCTCTTTTTCCTCTCTCATTTTATTCGAGCAATCCCTGATTTCTTACTTGTTCCCGGAACAGCATGACCGTTTTCGTGGATCGCTTTTGTTCTAGGAATTGCGAGGATCTCAACAAACTATCTCGGTTTTAAGGCAACAACTTTGACCCAACACCAAACATTTGAACCGGGAAACCAAGTCAAAACTTCTGAGCATCGAATCACTGTTCCGGCTCTGCATTTTCTTTCCTTCACTCTTCACCGACAAGCCGACGATGGCCGGTGGAGCTGTGGTAAGTTAAGGGTGTTGAGGTTGTAGGTGGCGTACGGTAATTCATGTGATTTTAATATGATTTATTGAGCCTCATTATGAAAATTAATGGTTTCTCCTAGGTGGCCGCCTCGAGTTCCGGTCGCCCACAACCCTCCGAGCAGCCGAAAACAACATTTTACGTGGTGTTGCTCACCTGTTTGGCCTGTGTCGGAGGGCTATTATTCGGTTATGACACAGGCGTGGTTTCGAGGTAGTGTAATAACCAGAAAGACTACATTAAAAGGGATGGGAAATAATTAAATGGAATATTCCGGTACCTGGGATTCGGCAAGATAAGAGTCTTTCAAATCACGAGTTAAATACGGCTTTACAAAGCAGTAAAGGCAGGCAGTCACAAAGTTATACGTTTTTCAAAACTAGGGAGAAATTCGGATCGAAAAATCTCAAAAAAATAGTGGCAATACGTTACCATACGTTTCCATTACAGTGCCATGCTCTTCCTGCCCGACAATCCCGGGATGAAAGGTCTCAATACAGTATGGCAAGAGCTGATTGTCAGTATCACGCCGGGTATGGCTGGTATTGGAGCGTTAGTGGCAGGTATAACCGGTGAAACGATTTAATTTCATGAGTTTTGTTAGGAAAAGCTTCCGATATGTACGGCCGACGGATAATAATCCTATCGGCATCGCTAGTATTCGGAGTTGGGGCTATCGTTTGTGCGGTGGCGCCTGAAAAGTGGACGTTATTGTTTGGAAGAGTGTTGCTTGGAATAGCTGTTGGTAAGTATTGTCTTGTCGTCTCTCTTTCTCTCTCTCTCTCTCTCTCTCTCTCTCTCTCTCTCTCTCTCTCTCTCGCTCCAGCTTCGTGTTTTAGGCTTTGCTTCCATGATCATCCCCGTCTTCATCGGAGAAGGAGCCCCAAGTCACATGCGAGGAACGTTGGTCACAATTTACCAGGTGGGAAGCTATCGCCTTTACTCAGAATAGGCATAGAAATGATAGATTACAAAGCGCTATAAGATTCAATGCGCTTTTTAGTTCATGATCGCCGCCGGCTTCATCGTAGCCAACGGAGTCGCAGCCGGATTCGCTCAAATCGACCCGGAAAGGGTGGGCTGGAGGCTGATGTTTGGGTTTGCCGCCATTCCGGCTATAATTCAGGTATCTAAAAACGATACTATTTATTGGCTACAATAGCGTACTAGGTATGAAAAATGTACCTTAATATTTTTTAGTTTGTTGGATTCATGTTCCTGCCCGATACCCCGAGATATCTCTTCAACCAGGGGCGCAGCGACGAGGGCGAGGAAGTGTTGGCAAAGGTTCGTGTTCGAGGTTTTTTATCTTTCTAAGGGGAGCATGACACTTTTAAGCCCTTAAATCAGCCAAAAATGACGCCTTAAAAATGCTTCTTTAAGATCTACGGTGGCCACAAAGAATGGATAAATTACGAAATCGAAGAAATCCGAGATGCCATCGAAATGGAGGAGAATGCGAAGAAAGAATTTGGTAAGTTCTTGAGCTCAAAAGTCATTACGTAGTTCTCGGAATTTCACAATACAGTATCCACATTTTAGAAGGCCAAATGATCATCTCGCGCGTGTTCCAAACCCCTCATGTCCGACGGGCTCTTTTCGTTGGTTGTTCGCTGCAGATGTTCCAGCAGTTGATCGGGATTAACACGTTACTGTATGTTAACTAACCAAAGGATTAAATTGACGCTAACTTGGACTAAATGGGTAACAAGATAAAAATTATTAAACTCAAATTGATTAATCAAAACTCGATTTAGATACTACACCGGAAAAATCATCCAGTCTGCTGGAATTGAAGACAAGACGAGCACGATTCTGATTTCCTGTGCTATTTCCGGTTGGTAATTTCTAAGAATCGGGCTCGATGGAGAAACTTTTTACCTGTCACTCTCCCTTTAAAACCAATTTCCAGCTGTCCAAGCCGTTGCCACTTTTATCCCGATGAAGCTGATCGAGTGGAAGGGACGAAGGGCGATCACATTGGTGTCGATGGTCGGCGTCTTCATCTCACTCTGCCTTATGGGCGGAGCGTTCTTGATGGTTAATAAGGTACGGAGAATTCGTGAATCTTCAAAGCTTCCAACCTCAGGACTCCGTCTCCTTGAATCCAAACGATCTCTCCGGGCTCCCCAGTAACGCCAGTGCGTACGACGAGTTCAAGAAGTGCAATGATTTTACGTACGTATTTTCGCATTCACCTCTTAATCAACCCGTTTTTCCTGAAGAAACACCGCTAGATTGCCTCAGCAATCCAGGGCTTAATTTACGAAAGGTTTTTAGAAACTGCGATTTCTGCGTAACTGCCCCTCACTGCGGCTTCTGCCACTCTACCAATAATGATAAAGCTGGACAATGTTTGCCAACAAATATGGATAGTGATAGCCAGAGTACCATGGGGTAAGTTACAGATTAAACGCCAAGATTATCGAATTTTATAGGTACTGTGTAAATGATGTGAATACGATGGCCAACGTAACTTATAAATTCACGCATTACTGCGCTACAAAGTACACGATGCTTCCCATTATCGTGATGGTGATCTACTTGGTGTGCTTCGCTTTTGGTGAGTATCGAGAGAAAGAAACAGTAAGAGCGAGAGATACAGAGAGAGATAGAGATAGAGAGAGAGCGAGAGCGAGAGAGAGAAAAAGAGAGAGCTATATATTTCCAGGTATGGGACCGATGCCATGGGTCTACAACGCGGAGATATATCCCCTATGGGCCCGTTCTACTTGTGTATCTTTGGCCACTTTCACAAACTGGCTTTTCAACCTGATCGTCGCGCTGACTTTCTTATCGCTTGGTGAAGCCATCACCAAATACGGTAAGTTTGAGCTGCAGGCTGGAGAGAGAGAGAGCGCGCGAGAGAGCAGACCCTCATTCTCGATTTTCAGGCTCCTTCTTCCTCTACGCCGGCTTCACCGCCGTCGGTTTCGTCGTCTTCTACTTCTTCATGCCCGAAACTAAAGGGCTCCAAATGGAAGAAATCGAGCATCTTTTCAAAACCAAGGCAGAACGAAGGAAGACTAACTACAGCGCACACAACCCGGGGCTTGAGATGCAGGACAAATACTGATTTTTCAAACCCTGAAAACATCCGACAAGCTCATGCTCGATTCTCGTTACTCCCTTGCCTGCAAAAATCGACTTCCAAAAATTGGTGTTATCTTACTAGTCATACTTTCCTTAAAATGTACATATCAGCTTTAAATTTGTGATTCCAACCTTTTTGTAAAATTACCATCAATTTTCTGATCCGTAAAATTGTGATAACTTCTATATATTTATTTGTGTTCAGTTTCGGGGCGTTAGATGCTACTTAATAAATGCACAAATTTGGATATATTTATCGAAACTCACAAGGGGAAAAGGATGAGTGGCAAATCGATAATTTATGCAAGAAAATGAATAAAGTATTAGATTACCAGAATTTTTTGCAAAATTTGTGCTTATCACAGCGTTCCGGTAAAAAAACAAGGAAGAGTACGTGGTGAAACCGATAGATTTGCGATTAGATCGGGGGGTCAACCAATAAGTTATGGAGTTAGAAAATGAGAAAAATCGTTTAAAGGTAGCTAAAGTTAATGCTGCTTCAGCTTCTCAAAGTTGACCCGGGCTTTCTCGATATTTTGGACGAATGGGTGGTTAGGGTTGACGGCGGCAATCTGGAATTTTGCGTTGAAAGAGAGGGAGAGAGGGAGAGAGAGAGAGAGAGAGAGAGCGAGAGAGAGAGAGCAACTACTAACCTGAACCAACTGCTTCCTTGCAAAGTTCAAAGGTGTCTTCTTCTTATCATTGTGAAGTTGCGCCCGGATTTTGTTAATCATAGCCTCAACGGAGTTCGGATCCCGTTGCAGGACCTCCTAGAAAACAAAATTACGTTGAAAAACCTAGTTTGACATGCGTAAAATACAAAATCTGGCAAAGTGTACCTCCAATGCCTCTTCCGCTTCTTCCCCTTGACCCTGCGCGATCAAGGCGTTCGATTTGCCGATTAGGAGGTAAGGGGTGGCGCCATACTTGTCGATAAGCTCCTGAAAGGCAATATTTTAGATGAATAATATGCTTTGTGATGGCTTGTATAAAATCTGTAAAAAATAGCAGTCGGACGGACCTGGTAAATATAGAAGGCATCCTTCAGCTTCTCCTTTCCAATGAACATATTCACCCAGGCGGTCGCGAGCTGCGTCAATGTTGCATCTTCGTCCTGCTCGCTCATTCGGGCAAGCTCCTTGCTAAATTCGACGTTTTTATGGCCGGTCATTACCGTATTAAATTTCTATAAGCAACGTCCGCACTTACATAGCAACGTCGGGCCGGTTCATGGCCAAAAGCGCGTGAATCGAGGCGCCCCGTGCTTCGAGGTGCTCGACGTTGTGAAGCAGTTGCAACGTCTTCTCGGGGTTCTAAAAATATTCCTGGTCTCTGAAAAACTCAGAAGTGCCAATGGGTGAAAAATACGGTGCTTGAAGTGCTTACGTGTGCTTGAAGGTACAAAACTCCGTATGCGACTCGGGCCAACGGTTCGCTGCTCGATTGGGCCTCTTCTTCGATGTCTTCGAGGAATTTGGGTCTGAAACCGGGTTCGTACGCTTAACAAAAGCGCATCCCTGTTAAAATAATTTTTTTACGAAAGCACGTATGTGAAAATTTTTGGCAAGAATAAGCTTTTGAAAGAGGAATAAAGATTTTTTGGCAATTTGCTTTCCCAACAACGGATAGGTCCTTTCAATGTATATTTAGATGCAATTGAACTTACTGGTTCTTGCTGGTAGCATATTCAGCAAGCCTTCTGATTCCCTTCAGCGTCTCTGACTTTGTGCCCTGCGGGATTTCGGCCAAAACGATCGTTGCCTTATTCAGCGCCAGGTACGATTTGAATACGTAGATATCGCGAGCTAGCTTCTCATCTTCGGCTTTCAGGACGAGTTTCTAAAATATGATAGGCTGTAATAAGTTTTAAAAGCACATTCTAGTTCTGCTTGTAACCAAAATCATTTTAGTCAACAATTGCAAATTGGGAAAGCCTCTGCAACATAATTTATAGCTTTCTGTTTTTACGGATATAAGTAATCTTATCGATTTAATTAAATTTATTGAATTTGGGCTTATTCGCTCTACTCTTTCATTTAAATCGATTTCATTTCATTTCATTTTCTTACCTGACCCTCGCTGACGGCCCCTTGGAAGTTGCCGATGTAGAATAAATTTTTCACGTCGAAGAGCTTGTCGAAGGACATCTCTGAAACGTTTTTACGATGAAGAATTTAGCTTATTAAAGGGTTCTATAGCAAAAACGCAGGAAAAGAAGGACCACACAGCTCCACGTCAAGAGCAGAGAGCCCGCGGGGCCGGCGCTGGCCACAGGAATCGATCCGAGCGGGGCAGGGGAATCGCCGCGGGACCGGCACAGGTCGTCTTACCTGGCGTAATAGGGAAATTTGAATACGAGGTTAACACCTGCTAGGTCGCAACCGATTGGTTTGCACATTAATGACTGGTTACGGCATTTCGTCTACAATTTCCGGCTATTTAATCTTTGTGTAAATGACCCTGCCCTGTGCCTTCAAAAAATTCCCAGGATTACTGTATCTTTTCCAGATGGATGAGATCTCCTCCAACAGCGAACGGGCTCAAAAATCTGGCTCCTCGGCGACCACCTCGATTTGGGATGTTTCACAAAAATCTTCCAGCTCGAGCTCAGCCTCGAATTTGAGCGATTTGAGGCGGAGGAACGAGTTGTTGAGGATCCAGGTAAGTAAAAATTATCGAAAAACTAGAATGTATAGTCAAAAACGATCGATTTTAGCTAAAACAACGAGAAGCCGAGCTGGCTCGAGAAAAATTTGCGGCGACAGAAAAGCTCGGCGAGAAAATACAGGCGCAGGGGCAGGTGGAGCAGATGAAGGTGGGTTTTTAAAGGCATTAGTCTCTTTAAGATTCTAGGCTCAAAAGAGTCGATTTTTAGGCAAAAATCTCCGCCCTTACTGTAATCTCCGATGACCTCCAACAGATCATTGCCGACTGTGAGGTGGAGCAAGAGAAGCGGCTTCGCGAGCTTGAAGCCCTCTACAAGGGCCATTTCGAGGAGATATCAGATATTTCTAAACGACTACGGGTCGAAAACGGCGAGCTGAAGAAGCGATGGCTTGATGGAGAAGCCAAGGTGAAAACAACCTAGGCGTCCCGGATACAGAAATCATTCAGGCTTCAAGCTTCGGGCAAGAAAATTCATTCCTGCGTCGCGAGAACGACATGATGAGGCAGGACTTGGATAAATTGAAGCGAAATCTGGAGAAGAAGGATCGTGAGGTGTCCGAATTAAAAGTTGAAGTGACCGCTCAACAATTGGAGAACCAGAAGATTAGCCAAAGCTCGAATGCCAAGTGAGTCTTGCTCCTGATCTCTCTCTATCTCTTGCTCACCCGTTCTCTCTCCTGATCTGACTGTACATTTCAGAATTGAACGAGTCGTCCAAACCACAGCACAAACTACATCAACCCAGCTGGCTACGCTCAGGCTCCATTCAGAAGCCAGGGAACGAGAGTACGGACTCACCCTCACGAAAGTCAGGAATGAAATGGAATTTATGCAAAAAGAGGTAGAAAACTATAAGATTTTACGTCTTCTGTTGTAGCTTGTACGCCGCGAAAATCAAATTAACCGGCTGACTACGCGATTGGACGAGCTAACGATCGATAATAAAAAGTTATTGGATATCAATACCGTAAGCCATTTCCTTTTGCTCTCTCTATCTCTATCTCCCTCTCTCTTTCTCCCTCTCCCTCTCTCCCTCTCCCACACGGTCTCTTCCGGAAAGCGTCCATTTTAGGAACTACGCCACGATACCGACGACGAGATTGCCGCTTTCAAAAATGAGATAGCAAGATATCGAAACGACATCGAGGCTTTGCGAGATCAGCAGGAAAATATACGCTCGACGCCGATTCGAAATTGTAGTCTGGAGTCTTGGAGTTCGATAAAAATTTGTAGCGACGTTTACTCGTAATCAAGACGACATCGGCTGGGAAATGAAGTACGAAAAAGCGCAGTCAGCTATTCGAAGCTTGCGGGCACAGGTAGGTAGTACTCTCTGGCTTTTGCTCTCTCTCTCGCTCTTGCTCTCGCTCATATTCACTCTCGATTTTGCCAAGGTCGAATTTTAGGTGCATGATCTTCGAAACGCAAACGCTCCCAACCTTAACGACCAGCAAACCTTTCGAGAGCTCCAAAAAACCAAAATCGAAGCCGCTGAAGCCCGCGAAGAGCTTCGACAAGCCCTGCTGGAACGGGATTCCGAGATGGATCACCGTAAAGACGTTACCAAGGTGTTGGTTGAGATGACCAAGGATTTCAAGCTGTTACTTGCCGAGAATAAGAAGATGGAGATCCAATTGCACAGGAAATAAGTTATCAAGTGTTTACTCATAATATTAATTTAGTTGCGATTTTAATGTTCATAAAAACTAATAAGATTTTACGATAGATTTTACAAACCTGAAGCGCGAAATGTATTAATGTGGTGACTGTACTTCATTGAGTTGTTTTGTATTTGGGCCAGAATTTCATTGAAGTATCTTTTATTCCAATCCACATACAATACCCATACGTGTTGAGATCAAAAAAATCGAATAAACGGGTCTAGATTCTTATGGCGAAGTTTTTAAGGGACAGAGAAGTATCGACACTTCACTTTACAAGGCTACAACACCGTATCGGCTACAGGTTGGGGCATTTGGAGCATTTGGAGTTTGCCCGGGCTCGGTTTCGTCCACGATCGTTTCTGCGGTTTTTGAGGGTCGCATTTTTGGGCTGAAATATGGCTATTAAAGGCGTTTTTAAGGTTTATGATTGAAAAATTGCTTAAATTTACTTTCTAAATTTAAAGGCTAGGAAAAATACATTTGTAAAGCGTTGCGTAGCTTGCTAAAAAACGTACTCATGCATATTGCCGAGCGCAATTTCTTGGTCTTCCTCTTCGTCGGAGATGTCGCCTTCTTCCCACCTAAAAATTGTCATTTTTAAGATGGATTTAAAGTTTTAAGTCATTAAATGTTTAAATTCTGAAAATTT